ACACATAATTTTATTGATATTTGAGTGACATTAACGCCGGACTAAAGCGAAACACACCAGACATTTTAATGGACTTAGCAAGCACTAGAGAAGAAATGATATTGTGTACACACTTTCGGATTCATTTGATTCCAGGAGTGTTGGTTTTGAATTGAAAAACTTGAAAATCTTGTCGAGAAATCTGGGTTTGTCCAATATTTGAATAATGAATGAATGAATGAATGAATGAATGAAAGCGTGAAGTAGACGTTATCCGACCCATCCACGCACGATCTTAAACAATTCTAACTTCCACTTGTCTCTAGTCCAACATTAAACCAACAGTTTCTATTGTTCAGGGTATCTTCTCCAACCATTGTTTAAACCTTTATCGACATATAGATTGGACCCTGGATAAAAAGCATGTACAATCTTAACCACGTGTACAACCAAACCAAACCAATGTTCATACGATTTCCTCAAGAGTTGTCATATCGAGATTATCTATATATAAATTTGGCTTGTCTGTCTGTTTGTCTGTCTGTCTGTTTGTATCCAATAAACGTCAAAACGGCTGAAACGATCGGGCCCAAATTTTTTGTGGGACATCTAGGGACCCCAGGGAAGGTTTATGAATGATTGAAATTTTAAATATTTGTCTTAATCAAAATTCGATCTTCATTACATTTTTTAAAATTTTGAAAATCCACAAAAATTTTTGTGAAAATCTTCGAATTATTTTTGTTTTGTTTTACGATGTACACAAAGAGAACATTGTTCACAATTAATTTAGAAGATGGGCGCGAAGCGCCCTCTAAGGCTAGTATTTAGAAAAAGTTGTTTGGGATTATTAGTAAGTTGGGATTTATTGTTATTGTTGTTCAGAAAAAAGTTTTTAGTTGTTTAGGGTTAGGGAAGCAGTTTTTGAATTAAAAACTGTTGTTGTAATGAAAACGTTCGGTTTATGGATTTTCGGAGACAGTTGTTAGGGTGTATGAACGCGTAATTTCAGTATAAATTTGTTAATGTTTTTAAACTGCAAATTATTTCGGGGAAAGGGTTTTTTCGAGGGTTCTCGGCTTTTCAAAAAAGAAGTTAGTTTTACGATGTACACAAAGAGAACATTGTTCACAATTAATTTAGAAGATGGGCGCGAAGCGCCCTCTAAGGCTAGAAAGAAGGGCGCGAAGCGCCTTGAATTTCTAGTAGAATAAATTCTTATTTTTATAAATTTACAAAAAACTGATGGATTCTCACATAAGTTTTCTAATAGAATTGACGTACCAAAAATAAAATCAATAAAATAAAAGATTAATAAGTATTAGACTTCGAAATTTTCCCTTTCCCCCACCCTCACTCTCCTTCATCAGATTATAACACGCGCCTCCTTATCTTATATCTCCTTTAATCCTATTATTCAACACCCCCTCTACCTCCATCTTGACATCAATCCCTAAAAACTCGCATAAGAACGATACTCTTGTCTTATTAGGACGTACAATAGATTTCTTGGGAAGGGTAGAAGATACATAGTTTGTATACAGCATCATTTTAATATTAAATGCAGTAGAGAGAAAAAGGCTGGATGTGAATACAGACTTAACAGGGTATGTAGGGTACAAACTAACAGGAAAAGGAGGATACAATATAACAGGGTAGGGAGAATACAGACTAACAGGATAAGGAGGATACAGATTAACAGGGTAGGTGGATAAGACTAACAGGGTAGGGAGGATACAGACTAACAGTGTAGGTGGATACAGACTAACAGGGTAGGGAGGATACAGACAAACGGGGTGGGTGGATACAGACCAACAAGGTAGGTGGGATAAGACTAACAGGCTAGTTGGATTCAGACAAACAGGGTAGGTGGATAAGACTAACAGGGTAGGTAGGATACAGGGTTAGGGGTTTTAAATCAGGCTTAAGGGGTTTCTGTCAGGATTCAGGTTTTTTATCAGGATTAAGGTTTTTTATCAGGATTAAGGGTTTGTTTATCAGGTTTAAGGGTTTTACATCAGGGTTAAGGGTTTCATATCAGGTTTAAAGGTTTTACATCAAGGTTAAGGGTTTTATATCAAGGTTAAGGGTTTTCTGTCAGGGTTAAGAGCTCTACGTCAGGTTTAAGGGTTCTATACCATGTTAAGGGTTTTACATCAAGGTTAAGGGTTTTCTGTCAGGGTTAAGGGCTCTACGTCAGGTTTAAGGGTTCTATATTAAGGTTAAGGTTTTTATATCAAGGTTAAGGGTTTTCTGTCAGGGTTAAGGGCTCTAGGTCAGATTTAAGGGTTCTATACCAGGTTAAAGGGGTTCATTTCGTGTTTAATGGGATTATAAATTATAATGCATGTGAATGAAGAAGTTCATGGAGGTTTTATAAGAGTATAGATCAGATTAAGTATTTATAAAGATTAAGGGGTTTCTATCGAGATCAAGGGGTATATATCGAGATTAAGGGGTTTATATCGAGATCAAGGGGTTTCTATCGAGATTAAGGGGTTTATATCGAGATCAAGGGGTATATTTTGAGATCAAGGGGTATATATCGAGATCAAGGGGTATATATCGAGATCAAGGGGTTTCTATCGAGATCAAGGGGTTTATATCGAGATCAAGCTAGGGGTTTCTATCGAGATTAAGGGGTATATATTGAGATCAAGGAGCTTATATCGAGATCAAGGGGTTTATATAGAGATCAAGGGCTTTATATCGAGATCAAGGGGTATATATTGAGATTAAGGGGTTTATATCGAGATCAAGGGGTTTATATCGAGATCAAGGGGTATATATTGATATCAAGGGGTACATATCGAGATTAAGTGGTATGTACCGAGATTAATAGATATGCAATCATAGGTTTATGTATTATTTCTACATATCACATTAAATGGGTTTAAACTCTACCTAAAAAATAACATAACTTCAATCTAAAGCGTGAAATATATAGGAAAAATTGAGCATTAACGAACGGAGTTTGAATCCTAAAAGTATTTTCTTATACAAAAAGTTTGAGATATTGTGCAAAAAAGGTTCTACTGGAAAGCACACCAATTTCACCTAGAAATTCCGTCCCGAAGGAGAGGGGCGGATTTCTGCATCATTTTTCGCATTTTTCTCAACGCCTTTTCCTTTTTCTTTTCCTCCCGCCTATCAACCCTAGACAGGCCAAAACAATGGAATTCTATCGTGTGATGGTTTAATTCAACTCCAAATCAAATAAAGAAAAAAATTGCCAACACATACTTTTTTGACATGGCACTGAAAAATTAAAATTATCGAGACTTAAAAATTTCAAAATTTTAAAAATTAAAAACTCGCGATTTTTTCAAATTTAATAAAAAATTTAATATTTTAATAAAACTGCGTAGTTTTCAAACATCAGCTGTTGTGAGGATGCATTAAAAGCCGAATATCTTGGTCAATCATGCATCGATTTCCCCCATTTATGGCTCAAAACATGCGTAAAAATAAGGAGTAAAAACCTCCTTTTGTCACTATTTCCTACCGTTTCTGGGTTTCCGGGTGCAGAGGAACTTCTTGATCGACATCCATAGAGTCGTCCGCCGCCATGTTTGGTTTCTAGTGCAGAACAAATACTAAGTAGGGACCGCACACTGTACACTGGATACCTTCTAGAATATTCCATATATTAATCATGTTAAACATGATTATAGTTGGTACTATGAGTCAATGAATAAATAGAACTGTATCAACGGCAATAAGTAAAATGTCGAGAAATTCTAACTCAAATTCGATTCCTAATTCATTCTGCAATGCATTACTTTTCCTTTTGTACTTTTACGGAGATATCGTCTTCCATCGTGATACGTAACATATAGAAAACTGCTTTAATTATGTTGAATTTATCGCTTATCTTTAAGGATAAGTGATAACAAGGATTGATGTAACAATTAAAATATCAGAATCGCCTAAATGTAATCATTCCTATTTCCTTCAAAGAAAGAAAACAACTTGCCTTTATCATTTTGTTATACCTCCTATAATTTATGAAGAGCATACATTGCTGTTTATTCCCAACGTGATTATATTGCTTTAAGATAAAAACGAACTGTCCCTTCGCAAATGACTTAGTCACTTAGGCAAACTAAGAATTTGGATATATTGCTAACTTAAAATTACCCGCAGACCTTCTACAACTACATTAGGAATAATCATAATCATGAATCAAAATTGCCAAAAAAAAACTCATGAAAAGCTGTTAGAAGCTTGGTGCCGTTAACTGTGACTATGAGCGGTCGTTTTTTCAATTAACAGTATGGTTCAAGGAGGTTGATTATTAAATAACGAACTAAACTTTTTGGAACAGATCGATTTTTAAAAGAACGAACGTGGAACAAACTAAGACACTAGTTAACGAACATTTGACCAAACGATTACAAAACTTAAGAACATGTCTGACCCCATCAATGTATCTATTAACTCCATGTTTACCTGAATTGACTATAATCTACTCCAGGAAGTGTTGTAGCCTTTAAATCATTATCTGATCTATAAATATAGAGTAATTATACATTTAAATATACAAATTTAAAGTTTGTTAAAAAATCAACAAAAAAATAAAAGATATCAGTAAATAAGGCTTCAACGGAAGCTTACCATTTTTCCATGCCAAACAAAAATCTGACGAATCAGAGAAAATTTATTAAAAATTATTTCAAACGAAGTTAACACTTAGATATAGGTAATTATGTTTTAAAAATTTATTTTTTTCAAAATGTTAGGAAATGAAATTTTGCATAAAGCGCACAAAATTGAATGACTTAGAGAGTATCAAGAAACTTTATCGGAATAAGTTTATTTTTCAATAATAATGCAAAACATCAAGTCTACAACTTTGGCGGGGGCTGAGCGAATGAACATTGGAAAGCTTTAAGATTTAGACAATTCGATTTAAAAACCGACATTGAGTTGGGAAATCCCTGAATCCAAGAGTTGATGGAAGAAACAAGAATTATAAACATAAAGCTAACACAATTTGAAAAACAATATTTAACAATATCTAAACATTTTACAGGTTATTATTTAATTACTTTTTAACTATCTGCCTTGATGCAGGTTGGAGAAGGAACAATATATAGCGGAGAAAAATATTAACTGAGCTGAAAACTTTAGAATGAAATATCCAAATATCAGATAAGGTAACTTCTCTGGAGTTTAAATTCATGTGGAGAACAAGCAATATTTAAACTGGATATTAAGAAATTTTATTTGAAAAGACTGGTTTAAGCCTTAATCCTGATATCCACCATTCTAAAGTTTTCAGCTCTGAGCATTTAATGAAAGTGAAATTACTTAAAATAGATCAATAAAATTTGAAGGATGGAAGTAAATAAAACACCGTCCATTAGATATTATGCTTCACAAGAGTCATTTACATTTATATAATCCGATAGCATTGCTACTTTTATACTACAGCATTAGTACATGAATATCTTTATAGTTTGACTGATTTGGGTTGTATGTAAAAATGTATAAAAAAGTACGCTTTTCCATTTTGATCGGAGTTGAAAATAAAAATAAACAACTGAAGTTAGTTATTGCTTTCAGATCATTTTCATAACTAAAATAGAAAAACTTTAAATAAAAAATTCTATCGTTTTTTATTAAAAAATTGACATAAAATCATTTCTAGATTTTAGAATTTTTAAAACAATTGTTATTTGACATTCATTTGGACACTTTAATTACGTACAAAATGTTTGAGATTTTATAATCAAATGTGGGAAGGGGGGGGGGATAAAAACTTCTAAATTTTACTACGGGTTTATTCCAACGCGAAGATTTCGTCTCAATGACTTAAGGAAACTAATATTTTGAGTTAAGACAAACAAGAGTTGACACTAATACTGATTTTAAGTCAGATAAACTGAACTTAAGCTTAATATTAGTACCGAAATTGTAGGAAAAAGTTATTTTGATCCAACTGAAAAAACTTAGGAGATATAAAGCATACAATTATTTAAATAACTAGTTATTATAGTCCACTCGAAAATTGATGAGAAAAATGGAGTAAGAATTGAAAATATTCTGATCAAATGTTTAAAACCGGATTTTTTTTTCGTTTCGCGACGGTTTACAAAAAACTGGTAATTTATTAGCACTGTCCGTAAACCATGGTTAGAGCTGATGAGTATTTTTTTAGAACTAACATTGAGACAAAATCTCGGCAGGAAAATATAGAACAAATGTCCGACAATTTACTCGCGAGCTTTGATAGGTAATTTACATTTTACACTGGGACATTAGAACACTGGAATCATCACAGTATTTCTGGAGAATGTAAGACCAAAAAAATATTATAATAAAAAAATAATATCAAATATATAGAAAACAAGGGTATAAATTTTGTTTTTTGATTAAATAATAAATTGATTAGAAAAAAGGGTATTTTCAAGAATTAATAACTTTTAATGCTTTGATGCTAAGGGAAAAAATTAAAAATTGGACATACGAATTACCACACAAATAGGGAACAGATGATTTTCAAAGGGAATGGGGTTGGTATACCCCCGATAGACAGGTCGTGGTTTTCAATTTAGTTAATTAATCGCTGAATAATTGAACAATGTTGTAACTGAACAATGTTGTAGCTGAATAATTGTAATGTTGTGCGGAATTTCTTCTTATCGTTCTAATGTAACATCTCTGCTAATTTGATTCAATGTAGGGAGAGTAGGGTTAATATGGTAATAAGTTTAGAACAATACATTATATGTAATATGTAGTATGTACAACATGAAAGTGATGTAAAATAATAAAATTTTATAAATAATTAAGTTAACTATAAGAATTTTAAATTATGATGATACAGGGTGATATTTAATCACTCCATTGATACAAGGATATAACAAAGGAATGGATGTATAAGATGGCACGAGTAATTATTTGTCTCTAGGCCGGAAATGGCCTATTTTGTTCAAGAATCGGTGGGACCTTGACTGCCGATTTTAACTGAGGGTGGATGGGATGTTTTGAAGCTCCTCTAATAATATTTAACTGAATGTAACCTCAAGATAGGATCGCGACACTTCTTCTGTTCGATGTTAGTCTGAAATAAAACAAATTTACTGATCGATTCTTTTTGTGATAACCATTAAAATATGGAATAGGGAAACAACATTTGTTAGAAGCAAAAAGTTTTTAGTAATCTTAATAATCATAATGTTCATTTCACCAATCATATCATAAGTCTTAAAGTCATCTTACTATTCCTAAGTTTTATGGTTCTCACTGTATCTAAAAAAAATGTTATCAGAAAATGAATGGATTGGTTCTAAAAACCCTCAAAACTCTCTGACTGGTGGACATATTATGCTAGAAACAGAAACCTTGAATCTAAACTAATTTTACTACTTTTAAACTAGATCAGATCTAAAATGTTGCAAAACGAAAACGTTTGCTTCAACAAATTACCTGTCTAAAGAATTGGATCTTTTGACACCGTTTTGCTGCAAAATTTCTCCAGAAATTTTATCTTCACAAAACCTTGACATTGCCTCTAGTTTCTGAGCTCGCTCCTAAACAGAAAACGGTTTGGTGGCTGAAATAAGATGTTAAAAACTACGGGATGCAGATAGAATGCAAGATTTATGTATTGTGAAGATTTTCAGAAAATAAATGAAAAATTGGTCTTTGAATGGCAAGTTTTTTGCACCGTCCTTACGTCATTCTTTTGGACCCCCTTCGGCCTTGCCATTCTGAAAACTAGCAAACCTCCCATGATTATACTATTATAAGTTAGGATAGGTTAGGATAGATGGGATGTTGCGCTTTATAAGAAGGTGGACATTCATGGCGCATTTATTTGAAATCACCTGTTTACCCTTTGATGCTTTTAACCAAAAAAGTCGAATTGAATGATACCAGTATTAATAAGATGATTTTAATATCTTATATTGAAAGGAAAAATAGTTTCAAATTCATCAAAAAATTTAATTTGCGATTTCGTTCCTTTTAATATGTTAAATTGAAAGTTTGGGATCTGACGAACTGACCTTAGTCCACCCCCAAAAGGAACCTTGACACATTTTTTGATTTATGATTACAAACCTTAGAAAGAGGTTCTGCAGGGTAGGAGAGATCATTAGCTTCTGCCAGGGTTCTCAGGTCGAAGAAATATTTAGCATAAACACTACTAGGAACGTTTATATTGAACTGTAAGAGTTCCAGGAACTGTCGTTCTAGCTCGTTCCTGAAATAGTTAGCATAAATCCTTCAAGGAACGTTTCTATTAAAATAAGATTTCCAGGAACTTTCGTTTAAACTTGTTCCTGAAATATTATGTATGCAAGGGCTCCTAAGAACGTTTAAACACCAAGCCCAACCGGTCAACCCTTGACGTGCTAGGAGAACGTGAATTGTACAATTAGGAATTGAGGCAGAATCAAACTTCTGGACCATACTTTACCACCACCATTCAAACGTCATGCCAGCAAAACCTAATTTGACCAAATGCTTCTGTATATAAATTATTGTCAATAAACTCAATCAATCAAATGTATTTGATCTTGCCACCCCAGTTTGGGAGACCAACGGTCCATCACCTCCCCGCCAACACCTCCCCGCCAACAACGGGATGAATCACACAAAATACTTCTATACTTACATGTCTTCTACGGTTAGATCTTTGAGAATCTGACAATAATCAACATTCCACACAGCCTGGTCATCCCATACCTGAATATTTATCAAATCAAATCAAATTATGAAAGCTATTTAAGGGACCTGCATGGCCCTATGGTGAGCATGCTTACAGCATTTAAACACAATTTTAGACATCAAAACATATGTTTCAACACTTGCAGATTTTTATTAATGTATTTTGATTGGACACACGCTTCAAAAATGTATCTGTCTTGAATAAATATTAATCGTTTGATAAGAGGAAAGGAAGACGACATTTGAGAGGAAATAACAAGCATCAAACCGGCTTCAGTTTCCCTTCCCGGCAGGGTTCTATAATTTTTAGAATTGAGGAGAAGATACTTTTCATTTTTTTAATCTTTTACCTTGCTCGATAAAAGAATAGCTCCGAGAGTTATTCTTTTCCAACTTCCAGGAGCAATATCAATCTCAGCATACGTTAATAATCTAAAAAGATGACATATTATTAAAGTTGTCAATAATGGCTTCCGTTTGGAAACGAGGAAATTTTAGATTAGACGAAGCAAAATTATAAAACCTCAAGCAGATGAGAAACTGAGATAATGAGTTAAAAAATTATCACTTCTATACATAAAAATCTGAAGTTTAAGCTTCTACAAAGCTTAAGCAAGAAGGTAACAATTCAATCTTTCTTTAAAAAAAAGCGGTTTAACTTGACCAACCTTTCTAAGTAAACCAAGGTGATGATAGCACACTCAGCCGTAAGCTGAGCTGCGTTAAACAGGGTTCGGATAAACTTGTAAATCTGTCTGTGATCCGGGTTGTACTTGTTATACTCATCCGGAACAGTCTCTCTCTAAAAAGAAAAAAAGTAATCAATCAATACATTGATTAATAGTAGTCAGACAGTCAATTAATTAATCAATCAACCAATCAATCATATTGGTTGAAAGTGAATCAACGATTCAATCAATCAAATAGGCAGAATCAATCATCTATTACAATAAAAGTCAATAACTTTGAAATAAATTCTCACCGTTAAAGGACTCTTTTTCTCGTCAAATATATCCAGTATTCCGTCTGATTTTCTATTCTTTATATGATAGTAGATGGCAAGGGACACGCACTTTATAGTGTTCTTAAGGTTAGGTTGAGAGACGGTACTATCGTCTATATATATAGTGGAACAGGAGGACGCTTTCTTTAACGTCATGAAGTCTCCCAGAGAATTAGAGTTCGCCAACTGCATCTGGGAACGTTTTCGGACCATACCGTTCCTTGAATAGATTTTTTTTTTACTACAAGAGTAGAAAATGTACACAAAATGGCTCTTATAAGATTTTAAAAACTCTTAAGGTTGCAAAATGTAAAAACTATTTAAACAGAAGTTGAAAACTATCTCGAATAAAGTAGGTAAAAAAACCACCGGATAATCTTGACTGACCAGCGTGACAATGTAAAATATATAAAGCGAAAGCTCTTGAACCAAAAAACTGCAAATATTTTGTTTAAATTCACCATTCTAGTCTTATCATAGAACCGTAATGTAATTTTAATCAAAATGAACTTGAATTATCGCTATTTAAATTAATTTAATTTAATAATTAACGATTTCAACGTGTAAAATTGATCTGTATCGCCTTAAACCCCACGGATTGTCTCTTTAGTCGTTATAGGAATTTCATTTTCAGAGTTTAACATTTTTTTTGTATTTTTCACAAAACAAATTTTTCCTCCACGATACATGTTCAAAACCAGAGATAAAAACCTCGACATTGTAAGCACTCTTACCAACAGAATTTTCCAATATTCAGAAATACATTGTAGGATGCCAATTCAATTTTTGGTTTTAAGTCGAAGCTTTTGGTTGTTTGGTTTAATTACCTAATGCTTTGCTTAGATTTTTCCATGAACATTGTTTCTGTTGTAGGATGCAAACTAGGATCATCTTCCCAATCATCAGGTTCCCGTTCAGATATATGCTGCAGGTTTCCCATACTCTCCTCCCTCCTTCCAGCAGTAACCTGTAGTAAGGATCAGTTTAGATCAGATATATCCTACAGGTATCTCATACTCTCCTCCCTACTTCCAACAGTAACCTGGAGTAAAGATCAGATATAACCTACAGGTATCTCATACTCTCCTCCCTACTTCCAGCAATAACCTACAGGTATCTCATACTCTCCTCCCTTCTTCCAGCAGTAACCTGGAGTAAAAATTAGTTTAGATCAGATATATCCTACAGGTATCTCATACTCTCCTCCCTCCTTCCAGCATTAACCTAGAGTAAGGATAAGTTTAGATCAGATATAACCTACAGGTATCTCATACTCTCCTCCCTCCTTCCAGCAGCAACATTGAGTAAGGATTAGTTTAAATCCAAAAAACTCTACAGGTTTCTAATACTCCACCTCCTTCTTCCAGCAGTGACCTGGAGTAAGGATTAGGTATAACCTACAGGTATCTCATACTCTCCTCCCTCCTTCCAGAATAAACTGGAGTAAATATTCGATTCGATCCAAAATATCCTATAAGTTTCTCATACTCTCCTCCCTCATTCCAGAATAAACTGAAGTAAGGATTAGATTAAATCCAAAGTATCCTACAAGTTTTTCATATTCTCCTCCCTCATACCAGAATAACCTTTTAATTTACATTGGTATCAATTAAAATATGAGAAAAGAATCCCGACTTAAATCCAACGCAAAAATCTAATTCGTATTTAGGTTTCTGACTTCTTTCTTTAGATCTGGACTCTGAATCCTTGGCAATAAAATAATTTGTTCACTACCTGTCTTGGTTCGTATTTATCATCCTGCCGTTCAACCTCTTTTCTGTTTTTATCCTTCTTACTCCCAGTTCTCGGAGTACTGTAGGCACAACAGCTCTGGTTAGCTCCCATCCCGGAGCTAGTGCAGAACCACCCCCGAACTTTTTAATCCTTATTGTCCCTTCTCCGGGAACAAGGTTTAGTTGGACATTTTTAACATGTTCACTTTGATCTGAAACAGAAATATATTTTTAGGTTAAAGTATCACTCCAGACACCACAGTATAATGATATCACATTTAATTTAAAGTAACATTTTTTTTAGATATTGATAAAATAAATATTGAGAATAAATCGCTAAATATAAAATTTTTAAATCGCACTTGAAATGCAGACCGGTGCAATAAGATTAGGATATTTCTTACGAAAACTGAAAGTGCACATTATAAAACTTAAAAGTTACGCAATAGCTGTGGTCATCAACTCCGAAACCTCGGCGTTCTGCGACCTAACGGTCAGCTGCATCGCGACACCGTCGGAGAGAGCGAGCTTAGCTCTGACCAACACCTCTACCCCTCCCCTGAACACACCAGAGAGAAGAAGGGTGTGGGAGTTCTTCCCTTCAGGAACCTTGTCAGATCTCTCACACGGCTACAAAGAAATTGTTATTTAATTGCGTGAGACGAGGTTTATATAGTGACATGTCCGAGTCACAACGAAGCCCTCCTTTATTTGAGTAATAAGGAGTTTTTGCTGCAAAAATCCGCACGTGACAACCCATGCTTAAAGTTAGCTTTCATGAAAAAAAAGAAAACCGTTATGAATCAGACTCTAAGAAATAGGGGTTAAATAAATAGTTACGATAAAAGCTTCAGAAAAAACAGATATTTATTTACTAAATCCATATTTTGATCTCAACTATTCTTATCAATGAGTGTAAACTGTACCTGGAGACCAAGAAAGAGGACGATGTTCTTGACAGCCTCATCCAAGGTTTTCATCGGCAAAGAGAAGGTTTCAGAGAGTTCATTCTCTTCTCCTAGTTCCTCCCAGCCACCAGCAAAGTTACCCTAAACGTTAAGTATAAGTTTTCCTACATATCTTTTTGAAGTGATTTTTATAAAGTTGTTGAAATACAAAATTCAAGATTTTGCATTTTTAGCACTTTTTATCCCGGTAAGCAAAACAAGAGAAAAGTTAATGTCTGAAATCGAATCAATTTCAATCTTCCTGAAACAGGGTCCTGTAGCCAAAATCTATCAAAATTTTGACGACATTTTTGGGTAAATTAAATAAAAAAATCCAACCCAAAATGGTTCAGATCTCGTTCTTACCTTCATCAATCTCTGAACGTAGTCTGAGACTGATATATCAATATCCTCCAGCTGATAATCATCACTATATCCCTCCTCGGAGTCTGGATCCCCAGTAGTTGGATCACAATCCTTCACGGTAAACTTGAGACTGGCAGGGATAGTTGCAACTATCTCTCCGATCTAGATTAATTAGTCTTTTTTGCAGGGGTATATAATTATATATTTTCAAGAATTAACCACCCCGGGGAGATAATTTTTTAATGCTCCTGAAAAAAAAATGGCATAAAAAGGCAAGTTATTGATCGTTTTAAGATACTTTTGACCCAAAAATTCATTTAGGTTCCCTTAAATATAATCTATTTTCCTCCAATTAGGCGAATTAGACAAAGTTTTACGCTCTTCAAAGAGGGGAGGGGGGGGATGATGCTTAAATACTTAATTGGTTTGTTATGTTTATGTTTTTGTTTTATGGTTGATAAAAACGGCACTAATGATTTCATGTTCAACCTTCAACATTTTGACGATTTAACGTATATTTCGAATTTATTTAAGGTTATGACTTTTTCATCCCTTGTTCATTCAAGTAAACAAATTTTAAATACTATTTATAATCTACTATCACGTGATAGAAATTTTCTAAATGTCAGTTTACCTCCTCAGGAGTTGCTAGCACTACATAAATAGTTCCTCCAACATTATACTCTAGTCGGCTACATGATACTTCAGTAATCTAACACAAAAAAATCATTAGCAGTTTAAATTTAAATCAAAAACATTTGGCTCCCTGGAATCGAATCCGTATCGGAATTAAATATTTTTTTTTATTTTGAATAGGCTATGACTTATTGATAAATCCTTCATGAGTACAAGAAATCTGAAAATTTTTCTCACATAACAAAAAATGGCAGAACATCCTTTCTTTACAGGACGGATTCAGGGATCAAATTAAAATGGATTCAAAGTGGATGAAGATAGAGAATATTTGCTGGGAAATATCTTAGGTAAATAGGTCATTTACCTTATTGCAAAAATGTACATTTTCGGACTAAAACCTAGGGAAAGAAATAGGAATTGCCTTATAGAAAAAATATCAGATTTTAATAATTACAATTTTTTGTTTTAATGTTTTAAAGAACGTTTTAATCATACCAGCTCCCATCCGTCTGGTATCTCGAGCTCAACAGTAACGTTCTCCAGAAGCTGGTCGTTCAGTGTGTTAGTACAGTCCAGCTGAAGGATCACGTGACCAGAGTAAATATGCTTGATCACCTAAATTTTATTTTCGAATCAAGATTTTCTGAAAGATTTTTCCACCTTGGATTATAGCAAATCTATGATTTCTCATTTTTTATTTCCTCTTATATGATAGGAAACAATTACTAAATCATTTAGAATCAGGACAAATTCTTAAAGTTTTAACTTATTTTAAAAAAGGCTAAACAATTCCTACCTGAACAACATATTCCGTTTCGCTCTCGGTAAGTTCAGCTGGCTGAGATGACCGGAAAAGTGGACCCAGGTTAAGCTGAGCTATCTCTGGTACCGCAGATAGACGGTCAACGAACACGTCGTGTCTAGTAGCAGTCGGCTTCTCCGGTCCCTTCGACATCATCATCGACTCCATCTATAAATTAATCACATTCTTAACCTAATTTTTTTTAAATGTCAGAATTTGAAAGTTATTTTTCCACGCCATTACCTTAGCTGCCGATGGTTTTTGCTCCTCGACCGATGCAACAGGAACAGTCTTCATGTCAAACCTTTCATCAGCCTGGCTGAGCGTGTACGCATGCAATGCTTTCTCCAAACTTGAGAGTGAAACCTAAGAATTTAGAAATAAAAAATACACTTTTCTTTTTCCCTTATATTTACTGGGAGATATATTTTAAAGAATTCCCCCTCGATGCTTGTGGGGAAAACTAAAATCAACCACTAGCAAGTTTATCAATTTTTTTTTTAAAAACTTTTTCACAACTTGTTTTCCCCAATCCAGCGAATGACCCCCTATAAATAAGATTTTTACAAAATAATCTTGTTACCTGAATTCCATTCAGTATATACTGACTGTTAAGACTGGCCTGCTGCTGTTCTAGGATTGCCTTGAAGTAGGTGGCGCGGTCCCGCACCTCGTCGTCGCTGTCTGTCTGGCAGCGACCAAGTAGAACAAGCACATTGGGCAGAAGGTCGTCGCAGAGTGCGCCGAAACGAGCGAGCGCAGAAACAGCAGCAGCGCGCACTGTGGCACACTCCAGGAGAACACGGTTGTAGATGAACCTGATATATCTTGATGGATTCGAGGTTCTAGGTCCCTCCTGTCCTAGAAGATGAAGTATCTTGACTGCAAGACTAGTGTGCTCACAATCCTCGATAAACTCGCAAAGATGCGCCAAACCGTTCTCCTTGGCCTCTGGGTTCTCCTCTATAACAACGATGATTGCGTCCGCAATGCTTGCCTTGTAATCAAGTCCGCCCTCGTCCCTCAGCATTCCGGAAAGGAAGTTCAACAGGATACCGTGTTTTTTCGGGAACTTGGTGCAAAGAGAGCTGATCGCTTGGACAACAACGATCTTAAACTCATCGGAGATCTCAGAAACGAAGCTGGCAATCTGCTTCATTAATCGATCAACGCTGGACTCAGCCCCAGTCTTCAGGAGCGTGGTGATCGCCAGGGTAGCAATGGATCGATTAGTATCCGTAATCAAATTCTCCAAATCAAGGTTACAAGCAGTAACTGCCGCAGGGTGAGTCATGGCGACCTTATTCAAGGTTCTGACCGCAGCGAACCTGAGTGTAGGTTTAGGACTGGAGCAGAAGAGTTGAAGCACAGATACTGCCGGAGCAAGTTCTCTAGCAGTCGTCTTCTTCATGTTGACAATTGCATGCGCAGCCTCATATATAACCATCTCAGACTTATGCCTCAGACAGGATTCAATAAAGTCGAAATACGGTGATCCAGAATCCATATCCTCCTCCTCGATCATTTTGCAGGCAATCCTAATCAGAAGGATCACTGCGTAGGGAGATTTCAAGGACATCTTGGTTAGTTTGGCGAGCAGCTTAGTGATGGCCAACCTATCATGCTTTCTAATATGATAAAGTAGTCCCAGGGCATGATACTGAACCATCACGTGATCTGAGGATACACTCTCCTGAACCTCATTTACCCAACGCTTGACAACTTCCGGAGCAGTTTTAGAGAGATGAAGAGCAGAGACGAGGGCTGCGGAGCTGACAGATGGGTTACGGTCAACTATAGCCTGCTTCATATACCTCTCAATAGCCTAGATAGAAGTTTTGTTCAACCAAGTTAACGTAATCAACTCTATTAAGTCATATATTTTTTTAATTTTCTTGGACAGCATGCAAAATTTGGTCAAAAAAATAATGTAATCTTCTTAATCAATTTTGTTAAAAAATGTTACGTAAAATTTTTATTGATTGAAAATTTAATACGAATTTTCCGGGATATTTTCATGTATTTTCCAGAACTATTTAATAATAAACAAACACACTATAAAATAACACATATAATTATAACACTTCAAAATCAAAACACATCAAATATTTAGAAGGGATGATTTGATAATAACAGGGAATATTCGAATAGAAAATGTCTTACAAACAAACCTGAAGCATAACAGGATCTGTAATAGTACAGAGAGCTCGGATAGCTGCAGCTCTGTAACTGTCTTCCTTTCCGGTCATATCCTAGATACAGTCAGGAATTACATTTTAAAATTCTTTCCTTTAATTGCATTTAAGAAATGAAAAAGAAGGATCGAATTTTTACATCTTTTCATATGTAAATATTTCAAATTGAATGCAAAATTCAAATTTAAATGGTTATTTGATTTTTTGTTAATCACAGCTTCCAAGTTTCAAATTTCCTTTAGTTTAATGCATTTTTTAAATTAAAAGTATTCATTAATGAACTGAATGAATGGGGTTTTGAAAATTACATTTTTATGAAATAAAGGGTATAAGACATGGTTAAACAATAATAAACCATTGTTAGGTTCGTTCTATTTCGTCATAGCCCCCTCCCCCTGAAAAAGCCTCTGGCCATTACTAATTCTTGTCCACACGTCTGCAAATATTCGCCTCCTCTTTTATTGACCGTTTTTGTTTTCCTTCTTGTTGAGAATGCTTAAATACAAGATTAACTTTTTTCTAAAACAATAACGGAGAAGGAATGGATAATAATATTTTGCGATGAAAAATGCCTTCGAGAATAAGTCAAAATTTGTCTATTTCATAAAACAAAAATTATTCTTGTTAACTAACTGAAAGATTCGTATGAATAGAGAAAAATACTTCAATTTGAATGTTAAGCAAATTTAAACCAAATCTTTACCTTGGTGAGGGATGAAGTAACAATAATGACATCCTCGGCAATACCAGATAGTTCCTTAATTCCCAGATATACAAGACGTCTCAGCACTGTATCCTTAGCCTGGAATAGGTTAACCGGTTATAATGACATCGTATTAATTCTCCCCCCCCCTTTTCTTTTTTGTGACGTTTAAAAAAAAAAAATATTTTTTTCCTTGACAGCAGGATGAAATGTATAATTTTGTGTAAACAAAACATTGATAATTCGATGTTATAAAATAATAAATACGTGTGAAATATAACGCATTTCTGTGGACGCAAGATTCAATATTGTTGCACTATCTTTATTGCTAATAAAAAGCAAGGTTTTAAAATAAATTATACTATAAATAAGATCATTGGAAAGTTTATTCATTAATATTTTTTTTAAAATATGTTTTAATGAAATGAACGAAATAAAGTTAAAACAAATATTAGGAAACTGTGTTTAACTTAATATCCTGAGCTCAGAACTTACAATAAGACGAACTCCTTCTAATTCGTCCAATTAAAACTGACCGACTTTGGTCCTAGGGTCCTCTTACCTGGAAAAGTTTAGTTATTGCAAAGAAGCACTCCGTAGCCTCAGTTGTTCCCAACACCTCCCCCTGGTTCAACAAATACAAGATCTTCGTCAGTACACCGATACATTTTCTCGGGTTTACAGGGGTCTCGTTAAACAATCTAAATATTAATTCTTACAGGGGTCTCGTTAAACAATCTAAATATTAATTTTTAAAAGGGTCTCGTTAACAATCTAAATATTAATTTTTACAGGGGTGTCGTTAAACAATTTGAATAAGAATTTTTAAAAGACCTTGAACAAATTGAATATTAATTTTACAGGAGTCTCGTTAATTTAACTATATATAAAGGGTCTCAAGCTTTAGGAAATTTCTGATTGATCAGTCCAGTCTGTGATTCTAATAGATATTCTACCTTGCTTCCTGTAGCACAGATGTTTTCTCCAAGTTACTGTAGGGGTTGCCCCCATCCCTCTCTTCCTCATCTTTTTTGTCCTTTTTCAACGACATCATTATTTCTGAAATGGGTGTCATGGATTCATTAATATTGAATGCTAAATAACAAGATCTCGACTACGACAGTCTAATGGCCGAGCACGGCGGCTAGGACAGGCTAGGAGGCCACCCGGTTCGGCCACATGTCCACTTAGACCATGTACAAAATTGTTAGGGCTCCAATCCCAAAACACAACATTCGAATCAAAGGAATGAGTCTCTGCCAAAGACTTAAATTTTCTACTCCATTTATCTTTGCAACTTAGTGGTGTAAACCTTTAGTATTTCAAACTTGAATTATTTGTTTAAACAGAATTCATAGTTTGAATTATCTAATATCTACAACATTGGGTTCCAAAGATATAGGGATTAGAAAATCAGAGCTTGCGGCAAGGACTCAATTCCTTCCAGACTTGTCACTATACTCCGGCCGAGATACAATTTTAATATTTTCATCAGGAGAAAAGTCCTTTTTTCGGTTTTTCTTGCTTATTCCTGGTTTTTATAAATTTATATATATGAAAAGTCAGTCCATTGCAACTACGTTTGCAAATACATTTTTTTTCTAATTGCAGTTTTTGTCCATGATTGCATTCTTTCAAGATGAAAAGTCTGCAACTAAGTTTGCAAAATTATTCTTACTCATGACCAATAAATTTTAATCATGGGAGAGCTCTGCGATAAGCAGCTCATAACTATAATAGAAACGAAATGATTCTATTAGAAGATATTTTCTCACCACAAATTGTCGCAAACCATATACAATGTTGTTGATTTATAATACTGAAAAAAGTTGTAAAGAAGAAGGTTTCAATCCTGACAAAACCATGAAACTCACTAAATCAAAACCATGAAACTCACTAAATCAAAACCATGAAACTCACTAAATCAAAACCATGAAACTCACTAAATCAAATTCAGTTTTGTTAAGATGTATTTTCTTTTACACTCAGCAAAATATTTATTTTCTTCTTGAATTTGGTTTCTTGGGAAGGGCTGGGAGGTAAAGTTGGGTCCGTCCTTGTATACAATTTTTGGACCCCCCCCCCCCCCCCTATCAAATTTGTACATGCCCCCTAGCCTGTCCTAGTCGCAGCGCTCGGCCCAGAAAGTGTCTTAACCTAACCTAACCCTTAAATAATAATAAATAAATACTAATTTACTAATTTCGTCATGTACAAAATCGATAGGAAGGGAGGGGGCCAAAAATCGTTCACTAGGACGGACCCGGCCAAGGGGCCGAGCGTTGCGGCTAGAACAGGCTAGGGCCCGAGCACCGGGGCTAGGACAGGCTAATTAAAGTTCTTAGAGGTTTAGGGTAAGGATAGGTTGAGACAATTTCCGGGCCGAGCGGTGCGGCTAGGAATGGCTAGGGGACCGAGCGCTGAGGCTATGACAGGCTAGGGGGCCGGGCGCTGCGGCCACATGACCAGTTTTAACCTTGTTCGTTTCACATATGAAATCCATGGATAGGAGGGTGGCTGGGAGTCCAAAAATCGTACACTGGGAAATTACCGTAAAATTAACCCGGAATTTATCCTTATATTTACTTCCGGGTACTGTAGTCCCAAACACGGACAATTCTTAAGAAAATTGGCTGTAACTTGGAAATATTTCAACTTATTGACGCAAGTCTAAGGAGAAAATTATCCATCTATCGCTTATAACATTCGGTTCACAAATTTTCACTTTAAATTTCATTCAGACTTGATTTGAAGACGTGTCTTAAAAATTTCGGCTGCCATATTAATATCAAGGATGAGAAGTGGATGATGAAAAGGGATTGGTCAAATCTTTCACAAATCTTTCTATGATTGGTTGCAAGGAAATGAATCTTAACTTTGATTGGTCGAATTCTGTCCCACTTTCCAGCCGGTCCAGCACGTCACTAGGCTTAGAGTTCAAACCGGTTTGTAAGATATTCTAGTAGGAACTGCAAAATTTAAATTGAGTATCTCTGAGGTTCTGAATTAATAAAATTAGATGGTGTATTTTCGACCTACGCAAATTACGCATACCAACCTTCATTAAAGAGCGATATGAAAGATTCTAATGTACAATGGTATCCTTTGATATTTATAATATAGCAGACATTTTTTTGACTGAAATATAATAAAAATAGCGCACTTTTAAATGTTTTTGTATTTGCATTCATGTTTTTAAAATTTCAACGTTTTCTAGTTTTACAGTTTTCCGGGTAAGAAGTTTTCCAGTGTGTTGAAGTGTGCAGTTAACGTGTTGAAGTGTTGAAGTGTTGAACTGTTGAAATGTTGAAGTGTTGAAGTGTTAAAGTGTTGAAGTGTTAAAGTGTTGAAGTGTTAAAGTGTTGAAGAGTTGAAGTGTTAACGTATTGAAATGTTGAAGTGTTGAAGTGTTGAAGTGCAGTTGAAGTGTTGAAGTCTTGAAACGTGTTGAAGTGTTGAAGTATTGAAAAGTTGAAGTGTTAACGTGTTGAAGTGTTGAAGTGTTGAAGTGTTGAAGTGTTGAAGTGTTGAAGTGTTGAAGTGTTGAAGTGTTGAAGTGTTGAAGTGTTGAAGTGTTGAA